TAAGTTAACTATACTACCTACGTTAGTCTAAGTATAGACATCGTACAGTAAGACTACTAGTTAGTAGTAGTATAGTATATATATATATATATATATATATATATGTGTGTGTGTGTGTGTGTGTGTGTGTGTGTGTAAGAGCAACATTCAATAAAGTCAGAATTGGGTTGGAAAATCTACTATAAAGAATTAGCAAAAATGTAGATTTGTCAAACAATCAGCAAATTGGGCAAAGCATTAACAGTTTTTATGAAGTTTTGTACTTTTAATTTATTTTAAAATATTTATTTTAATTATACAAATTTTAATACCAAGAATTAATTATATTACAATCATTGTTAGTTTTGACATATCTTATAGAATATTACATGTGTTTTCTGACTTGCAGTTTAGGGTATGTAGAAACAAAACCATTTAAATTTTACGTAGGGAATAAAACACCATTATGTTAGTAGTTTTTACAATAGTATATCTTTTTTTTTCATCAGAACAAATGCCAGAAAAAACTCGCTTAACCATATCAACTAGAACTATCTTTTAACATGTTAGATTATGTGTTTAGGTATGGGATCACACCATTTTCTGGGCACTTTAAAAACTAGAAACTACATATTCAAGTTGTATCTGAGAATCTTAGTGAAATTACTGTTGAACTCGTGCACAAAAAAATCCTAGAGCAAGAAAAAATATTTGGATGTGGGTGGAAGACATCATTGAATTACTGTTTTTATATTCAGAGATGTGAAATATGCATTTTAGAAAATATGAAATAAAAAGCTCAAAACTGACTCACAAATTTTGAAAGGTTTTTAGTTTTATTATGCTTATGTTTAAATAGTTGTAGAGAGTTATGTGCACAAAATGAGAATGTAAAATTATTTTTAATCATAAACACTTGAAAATATCTTTAAAACATTTTTTAAAAACTTTGATATACATTGAGAGAGAACTCAATTATCAAACATTTTGTGAAGTGTTAAGACTAGAACTGGGTGATTACTGGTATTTGCTAATCAGTTAATTGATGGGCTCATTATGTATCAGTTCTTTTCTCTCCATTTGCTATATGTTTTATTAATGTATCAGTTTCCTGTCCATTTCCCTTCATAGTTAAAAATATTTTTTATTGTTTATTTTATGTTTACCATAACAACATACAGTCTGCTTATACAACATTAAACAAATCGTTGATTTTAATTCTAACCATACTATTTAAAATCGAACAACAATGTCTAGAAGTTATGACTGAATAAATGCCAGGAAAGGACAAAATATCAATTCTGAAACTTTTCTGAGTTAAAATTACTGAAATATAGAAACACAGATTTAACATACAAAATTGACTTTTAAAATTTTTGTCTCATAAAATTGTATCAAGTGGTGATAGAATATGAAAAGGTAGAGAAAACTTTCTTCAGACATCAGACACAATAATTTAAAATTGAATTTACTTTTTGAATCCTAAACTTTGTACGTGAAAATGTATCATACACACAATGTTAAGTGAGGATAAAAGATTTATGTACTTGTTGCAACAATATTGTGTACGCTTTTCTAGAATGTTTTACATGTATATAAGCATGTTTATGATGACGTTGTGGCCGTAAGTGTTGTATCTATAACTACAAAGTTACTCAAATCTTTGTACCCTACAAAGGGAAATAAATAACTAATTTTATTTATTAGGTCAACGGGTACTTAGCCAAATAATATAGTATTATTGTGTTAACAAGTAACAGCAGTGTTTCAACTTCTCTACACTAGATGCAGTAATATTTCATTTTTTGTAATGATATCATTTAACATTTTAGAAGTTTGTAGTGTAACGCTGTAACCACATTTTTAGTATTTTGTACATAAAACAAGACTTCTACTATAATAAAATAATATTTTGGATTAATAAGTTTTGACCATATAGTGTAGAAATAACCTAAATAAGTCAAAGTAATGTTAATATATTCTGTAAATGATTAGCCCAGTCAGGTTATAATCCAATGATTTCTAAGCTTATATCTTTATTTCTAGCAATGTGATTGATGTCAAAATAAAAATAATTAAAAACAAGCAATTTACATTTTCTAATAAAAATTGATTAAAAATTATTTACAATCATACTTATAACAAAATTATGGCATTGGTGAACAAAATGCTGTTTTAAAATTTTTTTTTAATATTGTTAATTATATGTTCATGCAGCTTGCATTTTCACTTATTTTAAATATTCAACAATAAGAAAAACATCATTCTCAAGAGAATTCCAACTTCTAAACAATGAAAAATTGATTCTTGAACAAGTCTATATTATAAGAGCAGCAAGTACCTAAACAATACTAAGATGGACCAGTAGATCCTATGTTGTTCCAAAATGTTATCTTATGTTAGACTACAGTATAGTATCAGAAAGAAAAATTAGATGTCAGTGTTTTTCTTTGGCTATTAATTACCATAAACGATTTTTTTTAGATTTTCTGAAAACAATATAGTAATCAGTTAAAGCTTCAATCAAAAACTGATTATTTCTAAGCTAATTCAACAATATGAATGTGAATTAAATATTGCAATGGTAAATTTTCATGCCTGGGTTTTCCAGATTTGAGATTTCTTTTTCATCAAAGTTGGGCTGTTCTGTCCTCTAAACTCAATTAATATAATTTTTAAAAAATCTTAAAATCAGCCTTTATCATTCATATACTTATCAAGCTTTCTTTTAAGCTCACTTAAATTTACTGCCTCTACAACATCCGATAGCAACCCATTCCAAAGGCCACCACCCTTTTAGAAAAATAAAACTGTCTTAGCTGAAGATGACTCCTACCTTGTCAAAATTTATATTTGTGTCCCATATACCTACTATTATCACTATTAAATATGAAAAAAGATAATACATCAACACTATCAATGCCCTTTACAATTTTAAACGCCTCAATCGGATCATCCTCTATCTCTTGTTTTTTTAAGAGAAAACAATTTGAGAGATTTCAGCCTCTCATCGTATGACAACCCCTCCATCCCAGGCACCATTCTAGTAATCCTTCTCTGAACCA